ACCAGCTGCTGCTGCTGCTGCTGCCATTGTGACTCAACCTGTTTGCAATGATACAAATCGCCATAAGGAAAATGAGAGTACTCCTCATCAGTAACTTTTGGTTCGTTTAGTGCTGCCTCAGAGCACTGCCTGTTGATAGCGAGATCCAGCTCGAAAGGGGCTTGACGAGTATAAGCCACTGAATAGCTTGTGAGTCTGTTCCCTTGCAGTCCGTATTTCGTTGCAGGATAACAAGCCCATGTATTGATTGCAGCTTTCACGATTGAGTGCAGGGTGTCATCATCAACATCATCAAGCTGATCCTTTATTTCTACTGCGGCACGAGTCTTGCTTGCACCGTCCAGCCGTTAAGAAAGCTGGGGCCTAACTTCAGTGGTGGGTCCCTGTTCGCCTTCATCCCAGGCTTTTGGGTTGAGGGCAGGTTTTGGGCTGATACAGCTTTAAAATATCCTCCTCACTGCAGTGCAAGCATATATATATATATTTATTTATACCATGAAACGACGAAGCGACTGATAAGATAGCCTTTTTCAACAGATGTAATTCTTGGGGCAACATCGTTTGCCATCGATCTGTACTGAAAACTGCATAGAGTTTACAGGAAGGAAAGCGGACGTCTTCCTAGATCTCCGGTTTGCAATCTGTGGTTTTGTCGGTGCTTCACAAGACCCTGTTGTCCTGCTTAGGGTCCAAGGTTTTGCACCCTCAGGCTCTTCGGATTTTGATGGTTCAGTGCAAGGCTTGGAGCTGGAGGGCTTTCGGTGCAGGGCTTTTTGGGGTTTTATTCTGAGTTTTAATATGTAGGGTTCGAGGTTTCGGGTTCTCCTGCCATCTGCTTCCGCAATCATGTTTGCAAGTTTCGCAGCTGCGACACGTCGGCAATCGGCACCACTGCTACTGGCCAGCATGCCAGTTCATCAGTTCTAGTCGTACTCAAAGGCCTAGCTGCTTGCCTCATGTTCAAGCGCAAGTCTCGCGTTTGTGTCGAAGATTGGAAATGCCCTGAAGACTGAAGACCCAGGAAGATCTATCGCCATGTTGCAGTACGCTACACAGGAGACTCGCTCTTGCGTCCTTTAGGTTCCTCCTGCGTTTCTTGAGGTCCTTGGAGTCAGAACCCCCGCTTCGAGTGGAGGTTAGCGTTCCGAGAAAGGTGACCCATCTGAGCCTTCTGTAACCCAAAGTGTGCCTTAGTCCGCCGGCTCTCGGGCAGTTTCTGGTTCTTGGGGTTGTCTGTGCGAGTGTAGTAAACAGCAGGAACAGCAATGCTAGCTTTTGACGGGCCTCCCAAGGACAGCCCAGGTTTTAGGCTCGGGGTTTATGGCCCTTGCATGTGGGGCCGGAGGTTTTTGGCAAAGCTCAGGGGTGTCGGCTGTCGCCATTATTGTTGTTTTGCTTGGTATTTTTGCCGGATTCTGGAAAAGTCCGAATCCTGCACGCAGAATTGTCTGCAAGCTTCGGGCTCTTAGCTTGGAACGCCGCAACCCGGAGCGTCCCCAAGAGCTAGAAAGACTTCTACTGCGAAGAAGCCTGCCGCGTCCTTGGAGGATCCCTTTCCGATCGCGGCCTGCTCCGCTGTATTCTTTACCTGAGCCTGGGCGGATTCAGGATCACGGGTTCGAGGGTGTGAAGGATCCGGGTAGAAGGACCCCGGGGGCTCTTAGAGGCCCGCAGAAGCTTTCGAAGTCGGGTCTAGCGTGCTTTATCTCAAGCGAGATACATCAGGAGCAGACATATCTGCGCCAGCTCCAAGAGCTGTCCTTTGGGGGGTTTCGGGCTGTTCGGTGCTGAGCTCTGGTGCAGCAGTTCTTGGGCGCTATCGGGGCGTGTCTACTACCGCGAATGAGGATAGGGAGACTGCGCTCTAGGATCGTGAATAGGCACTTTGGGGGGTTTGTGTGGCGTCCAGGGTGGTAGTCGGATCCATGTCGACGCAACGCCGCCACGCAGCACCCCTTGCAAGGTCTGAGATAACAACCCTGAGAATTAGGCGATGCAAACTCCAGGTGCATGGAATCGACTCCGATCGTCTATCCGTGCGTAGCGAGTTAGTCGTATTCTTTTCGGCCAGCACCAACCTGGTTTGAGCTGGGAAATGCGGGGATGACTTGGCTCTCGCGCAAGCAATCGATCTTGTGCGTGGAGCATATCCCGCATCCAAGAAAAGAACCCACGCCTCAAGCTGCCGAAGAGCGACTTTTTTGACTTGATTCTTCATTCAACAGCCCAGGAGCATCTTCAACAGTGGCCTTCGGTGTCCTGCCCGGCTTAATTACTTTGATCTCCACATGTTCGGGGCATCAAGCGAAGAAAGAGTCCAGCTCCTAGGATGACTACTGGTCATAACGTTCCAATCTGGGAGGTGCAAGCTTGAGAAGTAGCAACACAACAGCTCTTTCGAGATCAACATTGTCGTTGGGCGGGACGTGCTAGTCAGGAATGGACTCTGAGCACACACCACTCATTTCATTCGGTTGTTTGATTCGACATATTAAATATGTGCTTATGGTTTCGGTTTCTTGCAGCGTGGATTAGGTGGGAGTGCACAGGAAGCAGCATCTTGGCAAGAGTGTTCAAACGAGTTTTCACAAGTACTGGTTGTGAGGAGGTTTGCAAAGCATCGTTCCAGTGGTACCGGCCATCAAGCCAGGTTCGAAGGTGGTTTGTATCGGGCGTCGAATCAAGGGGTTGAGTACCAAGGACACTGAGAACTCATCGTTGAGTGAGCTTGCAAGAGGTCGATTTTCTGCTTCACCCGGAAGTGCTGGCGGGAGGGCGAGGATGATGGATTTTGCTGCGGGCTGAGTGCTTCGAGCCAGTTCTACATGCGATGGCACACTTGCACACCGCCGCATGCGTAGCTTCACGCAGACATACGTGCATTCCATCCATGCATCCATGCATCCATGCATCCATGCATACACGCATGCATGCATAACCACGTTCACCAGGGTATGCTCATGTGTTGCATGAACATACACATACAACTCGTGCATGTTCATACGTGTTTCCTTTGCGCATCCGGTGAGCCTGCAGCTGTGCATCCTTGCAAACTGAGATCCCCTGACTGGGATGAAAGCCTCGAGCAAGAAAGGACACCTCCGGAAGCCCTCGAGTGTTGGAATGTTTTTTGGGCATCTTGCGGTTTCTGACTGAAGATCATCATGCTGTCAGTCGACAGAACAATCTCCATGCAGAACTGGAGCTTTGCAGTTGAGGTCGAGATCTGATTTACGGCGTGACAGGGCCTTTTCGGAATCCAGAAGCCAACCATGAGGCAGAGAATGCAGAGAATGTAGAGCCTTCGGAGCCATGGCAGCAAGTTTGCCGAAGGAGGCGGAAGCTCCGAAGGAGCCGATGGACCTTCCCAAAGAAGTGTCAAGCATTCCGGAGAGGAGCCCCTGCCTTTCGAGGATAAAGTTTCTTCGTGTATGCTCCCTGCTTCCCTTGTGCAACGGCATCATCAACGGTGTGCTTTGGGCTGCAAACTCCTTGCATTATCAAGAGTTTGGATGGCCACTTTGGCGCCTGGGCCTGCTTGGCCTTATTTCCTGCATTGTCAGGCTGATGATGACGCAGATCACCAGCTGGTTGGGCCCATGGTTCTCGCTTCTGATCAATTTGATCCACCTGGGTTGCCTGGCGCCGGTGCTGGTCACAGTTGAGGAGGAGTGGTGTGTTGCTTTGCAGATGTTTGTCAGCATTGCTCTGGACGCCATTCTGTGCAACGATGCCATTGTCTTTTTTCATTACTCAAAGACAGAGGCTCAGGCCAGTTTCGCCACTTCTGTGCAGCTGCAGTGCTTCGTTTTGGGCTATGCCAGTGCCTCCACCATTGGCGGCATTGTGTACGATCTTGCTGGCTGGCCCGGCCTGGTCATCGCACACATAGTCCTACAGATGATCGTGTGCGGGATACTCTTAGTTGAGCCATGTGTTCACCGCAGCATTGCAGACCTGTGCTGTCGAAAGCGGGACACAGGGAACGAAGACAAGCCCATGAGTATTTTAGTGCCGGATGGCCCAGCCCTGGAAAGCATTGCCGGAGCTGGACAGGCGCCGCAAAGAGGCTTTATCCCCCCGCTTCCTGGCATGGTGAGCTTGGAGGAAGCACAAGATGATGGCAACCTTGGAAGGTCTCGCTTCTCCACAGACAACAGCGATATGGAGGAATTGGCAAAGGCGTCCCAGGCGGAAGGGCAATCACAAGCCAGGCACCAAAGCACCTTGCTTCACCCCTTGGATGATGGTGGTGTGCCCAATCGGCGGTCCAGCAAAAGCAGCCAGACCTCGCAAGCCAAGCCACCGCCACGCCAAAGGGACTCAGAGCTCTCAAGGGCCTCAAGGCGTTCTGGAATAGCGGGCGCCGTCCCATGCCAGCGCAGCTCACTCGTCGTCCCTGATCGCCTCGCCCCTGCTTGTGGTGATCAGAAAGGGGACACCCCGGCAAAAAGTCGACTCCCCAGAAACATTTGGCTTCCTACCTTGCTGTGTGGCTTCTTCAGCTTCGTGTACAACTGGGCATACGTTGTTGAGTATGTCCTCTTCGCGATTTACTTCAGGGAGCAGCATAACTGGAACTCGGCAACATGGGCAGGAGTAGCGCAGTCCTCCGGTGACATTATTGCTGCAGGCATTCTGCAGCTGATTGCAAGGTTTGCACCCCCTTCACCTGAGAAGGAGGAAGCAGGCTTCAATTCTGGTTTTGCCAAGAAGATTTGTTACTCTCTTACGGCGAAGCCCTATAACTTGGTTTGGTTGTGCCTGTGGTGGATCATCCTCTGACTTGGTATGACTGTCCCAAATCTGCCCATCGTCATATGTTCCCAGGTACTTATGGGAACCCTCTATGTCATTTCCATGCAGGCTAACACAAGCATGAATACTTTTTACTCCTTGGGTGATGCTGATGTTTTCCTGACGTTGCAGCTCGTTAAGCTGAACTCCGAAGCACTGGGCATGTCTGCGGCTACCCTCACAGCGATGCTGCTTTATTCCGAGGTCCACCCCAATGCACCTTTCCTAGTCAGTGCTGGCTTGGCCTTGGTGGCCTTGATCATCATCTTTCTTGGCTTCTTCTTTCGAGTGGGTTGTGGAGAGTCGCTTGAGACCAAGGAAGCCAAGCGAGCAGAGCGTCTAGGTCTGTCGCGGCAAAAGACCTGGAGTTAGTTAGGTTCAGTGCGTCGTGATGTGCCACTGCAATGCGGGGGAATAACAGTTGCAATTATGGCAGGAACATGAGCAGCAATGTGCGCAGCAAAAGCAGACGTGTTCATCCTGTAATCGCACGTCATGTTTGCATTGGCAGCAGCAGGTTCCATGCCATGCGTGTTCTGGCAGCTGCTCCAAGAGTATCCACAGAGCACAGAGTTTTGAATTCTTTAATCCGTCGCGCCGCCCTCAGAAAATGGGGGCTCTCTGTGGCGCTTAGGAACGGAGCTCTGAGCTTGGCCGATGGGGCATCTTGAAAATGAGAGTCTATGCTGGTGAAGGAGACGAAGTCGCGCACCTTAAGCCGTTCAAGGCTTCAAGCTCTAACATGTTTTAGTGATGTGGGGCCTTGGGAGGAGCCAGAGGATTTCTCCGTGGCTGCGAAATGCCAGGCAGGTCGCCCTCCATGTGCCTGTGTACGGTCTGTATCTTTTAAAGCAGGTTATTAGGTAGGCTGGTCGGTCTATCTGTCTGTCTCTCTCTCTCTGTCTGTCTGTCTGTCTGTCTGTCCTGTCTGTCCTGTCTGCCTGTCCTGCCTGTCCTGTCTGTCCTGTCTGTCTGTCCCCGTGCATGCCTGTAAGAAATGCATGCATGTATATATACGTACCTACGTACGTATGCATGTATGTATGTATGTAGGTAGGAAGGTAGGTAGGTAGGTAGGTAGGTATGTTTATGTATGCATGCATGCATGCATGCATGCATGTATGGATGTATGTACGTATGTATGTAAGTATGTATCCAGGTATCCATATGTATAGCTGTATAGCTATGTAGGCACGGCATGAACAAGTTCGTGCCCTTTTGGAGGCATGATATGGCACAGATCATTCTCACAAGTAGGTGATTGTTCTACGACACTCCAGTCTAACTGCTTCCGATACACATGGCAGTTGGAGTTGTGCAGAAACTGGTAAACGCTAAACCCCTCAACGCGAGCTGCCAGAGGGGCGAGGTCCTAAACACGACCTTGAACACTTAGAACGCAGACCCTAAGCTGCGAGTGCCTTTCCCAGACAACTCCTCCGCTCCGGAGCTACGCCGAATGCAAACTGTGCAGTTAGCCGAAGGCCCCGGAAGCTTTTGGGATTTCTGGGTTTAGGGGTTTCTTCGATGCTCCTTCACGAGGAATTTAGCATTTGGGGTTTAGGGTTGTGGGTTTTGGGGGGTTGCGGCCGGGCAAGGGGGTAGGGGTAGCGGTGGGGGTAGGGGTAGGGTGTTTGCTTAGGGTTTAGGGCCGCGTGAATGGATGGGTTGTGCCTGCAGCTCGAGGTTTCCTGACTAGAGTCCAGTTGCTGGCCAAGATTTGCGACCGGCTTGGGTCAACGGCTTTCCGGCTCTAGTTTCTTGATCCAGAATTTGGGATTTTGTCGCTTTCGGGTGTCATTAACTGAGTTTCAGACAGTGTTTCGTCGAGGATCTTACTTTTGCGTGCAGTTTAGAGCCAGATCCTCCAGAACCATCAGCCGAAGAGCACAGTGGGCTTGCGAGCAAGTCGAGACACTCCCACCCAGTGAGACCAGCAAGTAGCTGCAGCGCATGGAAAAAGCCGACATCCCATGTACGCCCAACGCCTCAAGAGCTTAACAGCCCCACAACACCGCAATGCTTAACAAGCCTCAGCCTCAAGCCGGACATCCCGACGAACTGGAGACGACCCGGTAACAAGAATGCAGTTCTTGCAGTGGCTGGAAGTGCTGGGGGAATTCGGGGTAATGGGGGCCTGGGGCTTTCGGGTCCTGTGGGATCGCATCGGGGATGATACTTTGCACTTGGAATGAAGTGTGACGAAAAAAGCAACACGGGGGACGAGGTGCAATTGAGCAATCGACGAACAGGCAGAAGGACACATGGCAGTTGAGATTTCTGTAAAGCTTGACAACCGGCACTGATCCTCAAAATTCTAGCCCCATTGTGAACTCTGGGTGCAGGAGAAGACGAGGGCTCCTCCGGGAGCATGGTCAGTGCCTGGAAGGAATTCATGTCTCACGGGCTTGCAGAACCATTCCCCGAATCATCCCGAATCCAAATATCGCAATATAAAGGAGGCTCATGGCAGCATGTTATCGAGCAATGAAGGATTTTTCATACGATGCAACTTTGGTTTGAAAGCTGGCTCGGCTGTTCAAGGCATAGAGCGGGCCTCGAATGTCTAACGGCTAGGCGGCGAGGCGATGCGACCCGAAGCCCGAAAACTGTAAGGCCTTGACCCCATAGTTCCAAGCCCTCACTTAGCCCCAGCCGCTAGCCACCCAAGCCATCCCGCATCTTGCTTTGCGTAGGCCCTGAGACTTCAAGGGAGAGACTCGGAAAGTCCACCCCAGGAATCTGTGGGGCACGCAGGGTTGAAAGACCCCCTGCCCTTGACTCCCTCCCGAGGCTACGACCTCTACGAATGGATGAAGGTCCCTGGTTACCAGGCGGGCTGTCAAGTTTGCTCAGAATTGCTGCTAGTATGGCTGTCTTTCGTTTATGGTATTGGCTGGTTGTCACGATTACATGTCATCATTCGGAACACAGCTGAATCCGGCACTGATATCATCATGACGATGATGATGACGGTAATGATGATGATGATGATGATGACGATGACGAAGTGCCTTGAGCGGCTCAAGCGGGGGGGAGTAGAGATCCATGACCGGCGGTTGCTCTGCACTGACACTGCTGCACGCCCTGGCGCTAGACATACTCAGACGAAGCCGCTGCGTTGTCTAGAAATCGGCAGCAGGTCGCTGCGGCTGTCAAGTGACATAGTCGCACCAGTGACGCTTGCGACTGAATGCGCATAGTTTTGGTAGCTCGTTTCTGCGTAGGATACTTGTACATCACGTCGTTCCACGTGTTAATGTGTCGGAGATGGCATGTCTGTCCCGACGAGTGTGGACCCACGGGTCGGCATTCCTTCGGTCCTGGTCTTAGGCTCTGACCGAGCGAACGTAACACGGCCCTCGTCGCCGTGGCGTGCAGAGAGAGAGAGAGAGAGAGAGATTGAAGTGAGAGATGACGATGACGATCATGGTTGTCATGATCACCGTGACGATCATCACCATCGTGCTGTTTCCGGCATCTTTGCAGAATTACTCTGCGCTTTCGACATGTCTCTGGAGTGCTGCTGTGGCTGTCGTCCTTCCTGTAGTCACTCTACTTGCAAGCTGCGGCCAGACACTGCCTCTGGCCGCTGCTGCCCATAGTATCCCTAAACTGTCACAGCTCCTTCAACATGCGCGAGCTACCTTAACCGCATCAACCCCTAAACCCAATGTCAAGCCCTGCTGGAGGTCGCGCCGCTGCTCTTCAGCTACATCCGCCGAATTGGCAAGGAGGCATCGGAGAAGACGTAGGGTTTCGCGGTTTGTTGGGTTCCCAGGAGTTTGGGGATTAAGGGTGTTGGCGTGATGTATTTGAGACCCTTGCTCATCAGGAATACCACCACCCAGGTGACACCGCAATCAAGTGGGTTGTAGCTTGTTGTTAGGTCATGGCCCTTGGTTCGTGCAGCTTGGGGGTGCCTCGTGGAGATTAGGCTTCTTCCCTGGGTTTGTTTTCGGATCAGTGGTCTAAACGCGAGGCCCAAGACTCGCAACCCACAGCCCAACAATCCTAACCCCGAACGCTAACATACAACCCAAAAAATCCCAAACCATAAAGCCTAAGTTGGAAGGTCTTGGGGCCCGTCTGTGCCCAAAGCTGGTTCACAGAGTTTTTTTTAGCAAGGTTTAATGAGGGGTTTGTAGCTTGCAGAAGCCGCAGCAACATCAATTCCAGACCCCGGGTTTCCAATCACTCCGCCGCAGACGCGTGAAACGCAATCCCTGAACCCTGAATCCCGGAAGCCCAGAGCCCTTTTCGCTTGAACACTCCTCATAGAAGCCTTGTTTGCTAAGCTCTCAGCCTCAAGCCCCAAGCACTGAACCCGTTTGCAGCCTGAACAGCAATTCCAGGAATTGGCTGATCCCGACAGGCAGGTCCGCGTCAAAGTGATGCGAACGATTCGCCTGGAGCGGGCTCGGGGTTCTCCTTCGATCCCAGGATTGCGATTCTCTAGCAGTAGTAGCAGTAGTAGCAGTAGTAATGGTAGTAGTAGTCGTCGTCGTAATAGTAGTAGAAGTCATAGCAGCAGCAGCAGCAGCAGCAGCAGCAGCAGCAGCAGCAGCAGCAGCAGGGGTAGTAGTGGTCGTCGTCGGTCGTCGGCTTCGTCGTCGTGGTCCTGGTCCTGGTCTCGCCCTTGCGCTTTCTCTTGCTCTCGTCGATGTTCTTCTTCGTCGTCTTGCTGCTTTCGTTGCTTGGCGGCAACGCGAGAAAAGGACGGAAGGAAGCCCCTCGCCTCAGCGGGGCTCCGAACAGTTCGCCGGCGCCGCGCGGCATCCCGAGCAAGCGCTCGGGATTCTGCAAGGACGAGGGTGGCGAGACCTGAACTGGGAGTATGCGGCCGCTACAAAAAGAGCCACAGCTCCCTACAAGTGCCCTACGTAAATTGGAACCGGGATGCTCGAGTAATAGCTTCCTGCGCAGGTGAAGCGAGATGGCAATGGCTCGCAGCCAGGATCGGCGCTGGGATCGTCCAAGCGATGTAGCACACCTTGTAGCCCGGTGCGAAAAGATGTCAAGCACGTTGCTAAATCGGCCAGCCGAGCCTGTGTTTGAGGCTGAAACTGTGCGATTCGACCGCATATTGAAGAAACATCTTCACTTGCGAAGCCACCACCATGACTCCAAAGCTATTTACTAGGTACTAGGGGACACCTTCCTGGCAAACTCTCCTATCAAAAATGAACTGCGGACACCTGCACCTGGGAACTCTGGCCACCTGTAAGGAAACGTTAGTTAGTTCAGCTACTCATTCCAATAGGAATGCCCAATCCTACCCATCTTGCAGCGTGGTCGCATGCCCAGAAGGACAGCGCGGCTTCCCTGGCTGGCGGAACCCTCTTCCGCTTTTTTGCCATTCGAGAGGCCACATGGAACTGCTGTGGGTCTTCACAAGCTGTTGGCTGCTACTCCCCTGGCGCTTCGGTCGTGGTCTTGCCTCCGCTTGTCAACTCTACTAGGGCAATGCCGGCTGCAGCTTCGAACTTCGAAAAAGGAAGTGATGTCACTTCTTCAACTACTTCGGTTGGCCCGAGTCCAGTCTTATCACCGTGGGTGTCCAAGTCGCCGTCTTGAAAAGTTGGACCGACATGGATAAGCGGTAATCTAACGAAAGTCTACATGACCATGGTGCGACATCTCTTGGACTTGGACCCCCCGGTCATGCTGGGCACAACTCGGGCCAAGGACGCTGCGGCACAGAGCGCTTCACCAGCGGGCAAGTGGAGAAGCCCACCCAGTGGCAGATCCGCAAGCCCATGACCAGGAGTGCATGTGTCGAACATTGTCTCCTGACCTTGCTCCGGAAGCCCTTGCAACAATGCATCACAGTCGCTGAGTCAGCACTTTGATGGACCCGGTGGGTTCCAGGTGGCTCTCGGATTCTCAGTACGTACTTATCAAAGGTATACCATTCGGTCGCCGGCTTCTTGCAACAGCTCTTGCCCCAAAGGCGCCACATGGCAGGAATGCCCACACCAACGTTTGCAAGTCGCGATAGGAATTGAGTTGGAAGGAGTGAGCGGCATGCACCGTTGGGCTGACATGAGAGATGAAGTGCATGACAGCAAGCGAACAGGCCTGGACGCCCATGTTCTGCAAAGCACTGCGGAACCACGCCTGATAATCTCAAGGGCGTGTTACGCTTTCTTTGATCACGACAGGGTGCTGATGAACGACAGCCCTTTGGGGTGGCATAACATTGCAAGCCCGCCTGGTCATCGCCGGCAATGTCAACCTACGGCACAGGCCGAGCAGAAAAACGACATGTCCACGGGCTTCCACGGCTCTGCTCCTGCCCTTGCGGTAACCCTCGCGCCTCTGCCAGCAAGGCTTCACAAAGTGGTCTCAGGGACTGCAGTCGACGCTCCTGGATCTCCCCAAACGCACAGACGGAAGCAGCGCTCGTCGCTGTCATCCAAGTCTGTTAAAGCGCTGCCAGATGTCTGCAGCCCGCTCTCGCTGAGGCTGCTGCCGACTCGAGGTCCACGTTGAGACAGGACTTCTGCGGCCTAATTAGGATTTCGAGTTTTAAGGGGGCCCACCTCCGGTGGAGATGCCTTTGCTGACAAGGAGCCCTTCTTTCAAGCTGCTTTCGGCTTTCCTGCGACTTGGAAGACTTGCTGGCTTCAGATTGCAGATCGCAAACAGCGTGCAGCAAGCATGTCTGACTGCTAGATGTGACAATGCATGTGCAAGTAAGACTTCACCAAGCCGCACAGAAACCAAGTAGCCTCATCTCACATAAACCGACACAATTGAGCTGGCCTAACTTAGTTTACATTAGCCTGACCTAACATAACCTAGGCCTGGCCTAGCCCAACCAAACCCCTTGCCCGTTTGCAGGGCTCAGGCGAAGAAGTCATGACTTTAACCGCTTTATGCCCAGAACCAGAGCTGTGCTTGCTAAATGCCTGGACATGTCGACATTGAGTATGCAGGTTTCGCGGTGGCCCGGATCTTGAGACTTGTGTCACAGTTTAAGATGATGATACTCGCAATGTTGGTGAGAACGACTGAAAGCAATCCGGCCATAGATGGATGGCTTGTAGAGAAGAACAGCCGGTTCAAGTGCGTAGAGGGACAGCACCCACGCTGTCCGTCCCAGCGGCTACACGAACTGCCAAATCAGGCAAGCTTTACACATGCGTATCGAGTCGAGGTTAAGGGTGGCATTGGAAGATGTGGCCACATGGCAGTAACGTTGAGCGACCGCTTTTCATGTCGGCTCCGTTCTGTTTTACACGATTTGTCAGTGGCTCAAGTGTACGATAAGCTAAGCTAAGGTTGAAGTAAAGCTGTGCTTGCTTCGAAGATTCTGCATCTCACATTGCCTGCAGTCCTTGCAAACCTAGCCCCACTTCGGTGCGGCGTGACGGTTCACACAGCCACAAATTCATGAGGCCACTGCAACATATTGCAACGACAGCCGATTTTTCAGATGCTCAGGGAGGCCTTGCTATGATCGGGAGGGCATCGTGGCAACGTTGTGTTCCGTATGAACATTTTGCAAGGGGCAGAGGCAATATCTACGAGAGTCGACAGCCTCGGCAGAGAACTGAGCTGCATCGTATCTCGCAGCTGATCGCTAGCCGCTACGGCCGCTATGTGCAGACAACCCAAACGTCGGAGTCGGAGAAACCGAGGTTCAGCAATAACACACAAATACCAGAGAGTGGCAGAGATGCAAGCAACGTTCGAGATCGAGCGCTCACAGGATTCACCTCGTTGGCAACCTCCCTCGCGTTTAAACAATGCCGACACTGCCCATCTTAGGCTTGCCGGTACAGCCTCCCAACACTTTCTGGACTGTGCAGGCTGTAGATATCTGCAGGCCCTTGTGGAGAGGACACGACTTTGCGCGTCCAAGACACACAGGCCACATGGGGTAGAGATGCCCTGCTCGCTCTATACGTCTATCGATCCATCTGTCCATCAATCTGTCTATCCATCTAAATCTAACTAACTAGCTAACTAACTAACTAACTAACTTACTTACTTACTTACTAGCTAACTAACCAACTACCCATCCATCGAATTGACATTAAGCGTAATATACATACATACATACATATATATATATATATGCACGCACACACATGTCCACAGATTTAGATGCCCTTTCGATGGGATGGTAGATCCAAACAACGCTCATCTGTGGCATCAGGTCCAGGCAGCAGTGTCACCTTGGCTTCCAGCAGGATCACCGTGGAGATGCTCCATGCAGGGCTGGGCCAGCCGCCCTTTGCCAGGCAAAATATCGGTGGCATCTTCCTCCAAGGACTAGCGACTAGTGCTGAAGGCTTCGTGGTGACTCAGCTATCTCGGACATCCCAACCAGATGTCCGGACGTGGCCTGTCGGGGAGCTTGTTTGAAGCGCCGGTCCAGCTGGTGGCGCAGCTGGATCTGCCAAGAATACTCTAAGAAACACTTCATGGCATAACAAGCACTTCATGGTAAAGCGTGCCACATGCAAGGGCCAAAATCTCCAAACCGGAGCTTGTTTGACAAAGGGGTTGCGTGGCTCGTGGAACAGTGGAACCTGGTGCCCTTGTTGGCCATCAGCAGAAGAAGTCGCGAAACAAAGAAATATCCAAAGCCGAGTCCACTATGGCTATGACAAGCTCAGCAAAAAGAACCCAGCGGCAGCGCATGTTCGCAAAACAAGTAGAGCACACAGGGTATCAGCATCTTTCTAGCTTACCGCTCCAGCATAGGGTCGAGTAGACTCCAGGAAGCAGCTAGCATGGAACGACTCCTGCAGCACGAAAGGAACCCGACAGGTGAGGAGGAGTGTGACAACATGAACTTCTCGTCCGAATGTCGAGTAAATGCCTGAAACACAAGGCAACGAGCGGTGCTCTCAAAGCATGCACCAAGGTTTGCGGTGCGGTGGAGAGCCATCGATACCTCTCAGTGTTGCTGTCACTTGGCCTCAACATGCCATGCCAGCCTCAGACGCTCGACGAAGCTGATTGCCGAGGTCCGGCAAGCACTGCCTCTGCATGGAAGAGGCAAGGCTCCTCGGCTGCGGGTAGTAGGGCCACGACCACAGCGGCTGCGCCCCACGCGCGTCAGAAGGTGGCCCCACCGCCTCGGCTAAAACGGCAAGCATAGCAACACAGCAGCTGAGCATAGCTGAGCTCGTCGTTCGGATCTCTGTCGCAGAACCTTCGGCCGGCGCCGAACCAAAGACCCAAGCCGAAGGAAGAAGGAAGCCTTCTTGCGTCCAGGCACATCCGTTTCGAGGCCCCAGACGAGCCCCTCGGGACCTTAGGGCTAAGGGCGGAAGCCCGGATGTTTCCGGAGAACAGTGCCGAGAGCAATGAATGGGCACGTCAAGCTCAACACGTGTAGAACAAGGCCACAGAAACACCAGCAAAACTTGAAGTTTTCTGTATCGTGGACTCAGTTTGGCAGGTGATTCGATAATATATTGCTGAACTGCACCTGAGCTCGAGGCCTAGCGTCTGGGCCTCGGCGAGCTTCAAGACCTCCCCTGGGCCCATTGTGCAGAACAAAAGGGTTCGTTGATGCCGTCGGTACGGATTCCTATGTCCAATTGATGGGCTTTCAGTGTTGATTTTGAGACACGCTAACCAGCTCACGATGAAGGGAGGCGGAATGGCGGATTGTCAGTTCGAAATCTGGAGCCGGGACAAGGGCGTGCAGAAAGTGGCCCCATCCACGCAGCATCCGGTCCTGAAGAACCGCTGGGCTCCACCTGAACTTCGCGGAGGACGCAGTTGCTTGTCAGATACGCATGACACATACAGTTACACCATGAAGCGGAAAGGAGCCCGTGTCACTACATGTTGGTCTTTCAGCCTGCAGCGGTGATGCGCTGTTTAATTGCTGTCATGGTTGTGGGGTGAGGGGATCAGCCTGCGCAGCGCTGGAGTCGAATGAAAAGAATGCGCATGGAATCAGGAACATGCTGAAGTCCATGGAGGAGATCCCACCGCAGCAGCACGTCGAAACTCTCGTGTATTGCCTTGCAAGACCACAAACAACCTTGGGCACCCCACCCAAAGGGTTTTGTGACCCTGCTCCGCAGCTGCCTGGCAAGGCAGAAGCTACCAAGTTCCCGCGGTGCCCGTGGCCACGACGTAATTCTGTGCCGTCACATTAGGACCCGTTCAGTGTCAAGTTCGTCGCCGCATGCACTTAACGCAGTCTGCACCGCAACTTGCGGTGTGGCGTAGATCGGCATATAAGTGAAACAGAACCACATTGAGCTCACCCGCCGTCAGCGCATTGCATTGTCTGCCGTGTTGCTTCACAAGTGAAATCATGCAACGTACTGAAAGCGCTTTCGAAAGCCAACCTTCTCCTTTTTTTCTCTCCGGCCTCGGATCCGCCTTGTCCATGGCCCGCTTCCTCAACCACGGCCTGAGCTTTACAGGGAGATGGTCCGCACTTTTCGGACCGAGGGGCAGGCGGGTGCGTTCGGACGGACAGAAATGCCCGCGCACTTGCACTGCGCAGCCTTCCAACAGAGAGCGCGGGGCATCGACTGAGAAGGCAGAAAGCGGCAAGTAGGTGGAGAAGACGGAAGTGCCAGCAGCCCCCAAGGAGTGCCAACACCGACTGCAACAACGACAGGAACTAAAAACATTGAAAGGCTCGAGCCCACTTTAACAGGCGGCTACTAATACTGGGCCGGGCATATTGGAAGTAGCAAACCTGTGGGGTGAAATGTCCCTAGCACACACGCACACAGACACACACAACAGCGTACTGCGGGTCACCGCCGGCCAACGATCGGAGCGTTCGCAAATCTCAAATCTGCATCTTCCAGGAAACATGAAACTAAGAGTGCCGATTTAAAACGATGCTGCCTTGGCTTCGTCGGTGGCTTTCACCATGCCCTTCTCGGCAGCCTGACAGGTGGCAGCGAAATCGAGGCTTGGACCAAGGCCGTGCCGGTAGTTAGCACACAAATCTGCCGTCTTCTAAGGTGCAATTCATGATGGCCAGGGTTTTCGGGTTTGGACCAAACGCTCTTTGGGTGGAAGACTGTGCGGGATCGAAGCGGCACTCTTCGCGATTCTTACCCGGAGTGCACCTGGCACATCTCTTGGAACTGATGGTGCCCCGGTAAGTCTCGAAGACAAGAAGCCAACTGTCTGGGACTGACATGGCTCAAGTCAGAGTGTGAAAGATATGGGACGATTTGTGACATGCTATTGAAACTGCTGTTTATTGTGGAGCCTACTAATCTACTTGCAGGACTAGATACTGCACCCAAAATAGTTGAATAAACTAGTGAGAAGCTTGGGTCCATCCAGCATCCGCAATCTACCAGTCGGCTAACTCCAAACAGCCTGGGCACGTAGCTAGTTGCAAGCCTTGGCTTCGGCTCTCTCCTTCAGCATGCCCTTCTCGGCAGCCTGAGACAGGGGGAAGCAAAATTCCAAAGCTCAATTCCTTGCATATCTCTCGATCAGCAGCTTCTTGTGCTGATGGCAGGCCATACATGGTGCCATCATGGTGCCCAAACAACTTCACAATCCAACGTCCGCAATCCGGGCCCGTCTTGGCTCCAGTCATAACGAGTGCGAAAGAGAAACTGGAGTTTCGGGATTTGGCTTGTCACAAGCTTTTGACTGTGGAGTCAACTGCGCGACCAACTAACATCAACCTACCTTGAGGTTCAGATAACTCATCAAGAATAAACGAGTAAGGCCATTCGTCCCACATCAATCATGAATCGGCTACTGCAGCCCAGCCCTGCCAGTGGCTGCCAGGTAGTATGAAAAGTCGACGTGCACATGCACATGCTCGTGCAACCCTCCCTCTGATTCGACTTCTGAGTGAGACTTTCAGCGAGGTGAAGACGTCAAGCCACAGCGGTAAATACTTCAAGGCACTGGAATACTCGGAATCAGGGTTCTTGGCTTGGCCCCATCGTCATAAATTTCAAACATGCACACTCTGTTGCAGGTACACACTGATTGGCGTCCCAATCTGCTTCACAGAGTATCCAAAGCCATCTTCGTTGGCAGCAGAACTGTGGACTCCTTGCTGCCCCCTGCTGAAACTGCAGTACAGGTCGAAAACGCACTCAAGTCCTATCCCTCGGTAACAGGTTCCACACACACACACACGCACCAAAAAAAAAAAAGACTTGCTCAACAGAAAAGCCCATGATGAAGCGATCAACGACCGGGCGATCAAGGGCGTCTGCAAGCTTCACCTGCTCAAAATGCAGCCAAAAAAAAAACGCTCTCGCCTTCAACCCGCCCTTCTCGGCAGCCTGAGACAGGGGCAAGCAAAGTTCAGAAAAGAGACAAGCTCACACCCTTGTCAGTAACTGAGTACAATCGACGACTTTACAATCAGCGATCAGCCGATAATGCCTTGGCTTCCTCCTTCGCCTTCACCGCGTTTTTGTCGGCAGCCTAGCACAAGTGAAAGCGAAATGGCCCTGCGAGGCTTTGACAAGGAACCCGTGATCAAATGTGCCTTGGCTGTGTATGCAACCGAAGCGGCACTCTTCACAGGCCAACTTTCAGGATCGAAACGGTCCTCACCTCTTCCCCTATAGACCTGAATATGCCTGCAACACAGACGGTGCAAGGCGCACCGGGCGCGCCGTCGTGCTGGACTGGAGCTCGTCAGCCTGGCAGACGCACTGCAACCATCGGAAGATGAAGCCTCTCTTCGGCAGGACGGACAGTTTTGGCCTCCGCAGATCCCGGCTACCTTCTGTGAGGGTTCAGCTGTTGTTCTCCCTCGCCAGCCTGGGATCCACC